TTTTTATCTCCTGTATTTCTCTGGTCATGTCGTCGAGTCTCTTGTTATTTGTCTCCATAAGTAGTTGCACAAAACCTTTGAAGTTGTCTTGTTGTTGGCTCAACAGTGCGGTGTACATCTGCTTCTGCTGACTCAACATCTCTGTTACTTGCGCCGCTGAAATATAAACTTCAACAGTCATTTAGTCACATTGTTAGGTTTAAGCCCTAGTAGAGAAATCAACACACAGTTGCATACATAAATTATTGATCTTTATCAACTGATACTATTGTGCATTTTTTATTTTAACCCAGCTGGATGATGGAGCATTGAAACACTTTCAGAAACACTGCCCAGAACTCACCACCATCAATATGCAGTCTTGCACAGTAAGACAAACATTTTGTTTGTGGGATGGGAGGAGGGACAGGCTGATAATAATGCACGAGGGATGTGTCCGTATGCCTCTGTGTTTTTGTAATTTGGTTTGTGTGTGTCTGTTGCCTCTAGCAAATAACAGATGAAGGCCTGGTTAGCCTGTGCCGAGGATGCCACAAGCTACAGATTCTCTGTGTGTCTGGCTGCAGTAACATCACTGATGCCTCGCTTACTGCACTGGGACTCAACTGTCCTCGACTCAAGTGAGAAACACAAACACATTTACACAGAGGCACCTGTCCCATCATTTTTCACAAAGGAATCAACAGCTTGCTTCAACTCACTGGGTCCCACAGTGATCTTCAATATCCTTCCTCGGCTGGCTGATGATTTATCATGGTTGTAAAAATTAAATACACAGTGAACCACAATAATCCTACATAGTTTCCAGCTGCACACACTGCTGTACATGGTCCAACAATTTTTGTATGTCTGTGTGTTCTCAGGATCCTTGAAGCTGCACGATGCTCCCATGTTACGGATGCTGGGTTCACTGTGTTGGCCAGGGTGCGTTTCATTCATGTTTTCCCTTGTTCTCACGTCTGTTTTTTAGCCTTTTCACCTTGATATCTCTGAAATTGAATGAAATGCTTTTATCACAAAAGCACATGACCAGGCGAAGGTCAGACAGACTGAAATGTTGTGGATTTAATCAATTATTTAACCTAAGTGAGACAGAGTGCAGGAGTTGTTATTTGTTTCTCTCCTCCAAACACAGACTTTTTTTCAAGGACTGTCACAAAGGCTAAAACCATTTTGGTATCTTCACAGAATTGTCATGAGCTTGAAAAAATGGACTTAGAAGAATGTATTTTGGTAAGAGAATCTGCTTTTCTTATGTACTTCCAGCGTCATGATTTATGTTGAATCTGGAGTAATTTTTGACATAGATCAAAAAAGTTTTAGTAGGATTCAGAAGGAAACATGAAGATACAACTTGTGCCTACAGAACCTCTCATCTGCTTCTAGACATGTGAGAATAGTATATTAATAAAGCTTGCTCTCTCTTCAGGTGACAGACAACACCCTGGTACAGCTGTCTATCCACTGCCCTCGCCTGCAAGCACTGGTAAACATCTACATCTGCAATTCAGACTTTGTGGTAGATTCTGTCTCAGTCTGCCTGTATTCTTATGAAACTAGTCCATTTAACTAACTAACAAATCTATCTGTGTATCTTCATTTCTGTCTGTTGTGTCCCGGACAGTCTCTTTCCCACTGCGAGCTGATCACAGATGATGGCATCAGAGCTCTGAGCAACAGTACTTGTGGCCAAGAGCGCCTCACTGTGGTGGAGCTGGACAACTGCCCCCTCATCACTGACGTTACCCTTGAGCACCTGAAGAGCTGCCACCGCCTGGAGCGCATCGAGCTCTATGACTGTCAGCAAGTCACCAGGGCTGGAATCAAACGAATCCGGGTCGGTGAAAGTCATGGGGAAGTAAAGGCTGTTTTTAGTCACATAAAGCAGGCTCTTATGGATATAGACTGGATATGTGGATTTTTAAATATCTCCTGTTTAGTTATACCTTACTTTATTTTATGTTAAGAGGGATCATTATAGGGATGGTTTGACATTTTCGGAAATACTCCTTTTTGCTTTCTTGCTGAGATTTTAGATGAAAGATTGATTCAAATAATGGTTCAGTATAAGGCTTCAGCCGGCAGTCTGTTAGTTTAACATAAAGACTGGAAATGGGGATATGGTTAGTCTGACAGAATGCGAAGGTTAACAAAATCCAACAGCTAGCACCTCTACAGCTCAGACACATATCAAAGTGGTATCAGTGAGAAAGTGAATATGAATATGTCAGAAAAGTCAAACAATTTGTTTAAGAAGGAAAAAAATAGCAGTTAATTGGACACAGAAGAAAATACTGAACATTCTGTATCTGGACTTTTTTTCCTGTGTTTATTGTCTTTGATTGTATTAACACATCTCTCCCCTATACAGGCCCACCTTCCAGAGATCAAGGTCCATGCCTATTTTGCCCCAGTGACACCCCCTCCCTCTGTACATGGAGGTGGC